CCTATAGTTGGCGTTGGTGTTATGTGCCAGTGAGTCTCCACTTTTCTTCACATCTTGGTGATCTGTGCATAGCAGAAGGAAGAGCTGGCCATCCTGCGCCAACATCATAATCTCTGCTGGGCTATAAGATCGCTGTGGGCAGTCACTGTGACAGTCTTTCTGGAGTCCTTCCTCTTTTTTTGTTGACCCTCTACTAGCCCAAGCATGAAGCCCTTCTCGAGGGATGAGCCCCTTCTGATAACATGCCCAGAGTGATACGAAACAGACTCTCACCACCCTGTTTCTAAGGAGCACTCTGGTTGTACTTTCTCCAAGACAGATTTGTTTGTTCTTTTGGCAGTTCATAGTCAGTGAACAATATTCTTTGCCAAGACCACAATCCAAAGACATTAGCTCTTCTTTGGTCTTCTTTATGCCTTGCAGATGAAGCAGTTGCAAATACCATGGCTTGATTTAAGTGCACCGTGGTCTTTAAGCTAACATCCCTGCTCTTCAGCACATTAAAGATATCTTTGGAAACAGATTTGGCTAAGTGCAATACATCATTTGATTTCTTGGAAGCCACTTCTATTGAAGTTTATTGTGGGGTCATTAAAAGTTGTAATCAGCAGATATGGGTTAGGTGTCTAATTTTTTTTTTTTTTTTACTGGGGTGTGTGTACCATCAAATTGGATCTGACTGGTACAGGAGGAGATTGACCCTCCTTCTACAGCAGAACATCTGGTGGATTTGAACCGCATGCCTCTGGGATTACAGTCTCTGGGATTACAGTGCAACTTCTTGCCACTAGGCCACCAGAGCTCCCTTTATGTGTCTATTTTGTATAACATGCTTACCCCTGAACCAGTTCCCAAGGGAATGCGTAATTGGCTTAAACTATTCACCTTCAGAGGTGAAATAAAGGTCAGACATACCCCAAAAGTCAGATACTGTTGCAAAGATTTAATTATTACATTTTAAATAATTTAATTTCACCTTTGCTATGTGTCAGCTTAAGGACTAAGGTGGGCATGATTCAAGCCATGTCTTTTCAATCACCAGCAGCTGGACCATGAATAAGGATGGCAGACCAATAAACATTGCCTTTGAGTATTGTGGTGTTGGAGAAGAGTGCTGAGTATCTTATGGACTGCCAAAAAAACAAACACATGTATCTTGGAGAAAGTGCAGCCAGAGTGCTCCTACGCAAGGATGGAAAAGCTTCATCTCACCTACTTTGGACTTGTTAAAGTAGGAAAGAAATTCCTTGGAAAAGGACCTCATTCTTGGAAAGGTAGAGGATCAGCAAAAGAGAGGAAGACCCTCAATGAGGTGGATTAACACAGTGGCTGTGGCAGTGGGATTAAGTACATCAGAGATAATAAGAATAGCACAAAAAGTATAGGATTCAGGTCTGTTATTCATAGGGCCACTATGAGTCATCATCTACTCAAAGGCACTTAACAACAGTGTCCACATTCCTAGTATTCCACTGAATATTAAATGTATCAATAGTAAATTTGAGAAGTTGCATGAAATGCTATGCAAATCAACCTTAAATAGATACCTCTTTTACGTAACAGCAAACATTCTTTCTACTTATTATTAATAGTAACCTGGTAGGACATAGTTGTCTTTATATATATATATATATTTTTTTTTATTGGGAAAAACATATTGGGGGTACAAGGAGGTGAGGGTTGGGGGCAGAAGGGTGAGGATGGGCAGGGATGCATTTGCAGAGCTGCACAGTTTGGTCGGTGGGAGGAGCAGGTGAAGGAAATGATGAGGGGTCAGTGGGGACCAGATGCTACAGAGGAATGACAAGCATTTTCCAATAGTAATTAAACCAACTGTCTTATTGATTTGGGAATTGGATGCTGACTCTCTGGCTTCTTCATGCTAAACCAGGGCGTAGATGTAAAGGAGGGAAGGGAGGATGCTTTATCACCTTACTGGTGGTCTTGGGTTACAGCTGCTTGCCTTCTTGCTCTTGTAGAAGATATTTTCCTGTCATTTGCTCCCCTCTGGACTGCAAAGTGTTTTCCCAGGTGGGTCCAGTGGG